CACAGGCATACAAGGTTAAAATACTCCCACAGTACATTACAATCCCTCCCCTCTATCCTAAAGATAATTGGGAAGTAAGGACAGAGGCAAAACTCCATTAACCACATGGTTACAATAAAACACTAAAATACAATAAAATACATAATGTTACATTTGTCACATAAAATATATACATGTAACCCATCCCCAGATAGCTGGGATCTGAGCGCACAAAAGTACCGTATAGCACTCAGATCCTATGCACACAGTCTAATTGCCTGGAGTTAAAGTGTTTGACGGGATGGATATCTGGGGTATGGCTTATTCGTGGACACAATACTGAATACAGGGACGTTCGTGAGTTTTTACCGAAGGAGAAGGGAGGTCGGCGGCTTCAGCATTGTTCGTGACAAATAGTGTCCGTTTTGAGTTCCATGAGTTTGGGCGCTGAAACCGCTGGCCGTTCGGGACTTTAAAATGGCCGCCGCCACGTGTTCGACAAACAAACAAAGGCCACCCAGCTTTCGTCAATTAAGCTGCGGTTAACCGCAGCTTCTGGGAGATACATTGCTGACACACTCCCAATACAGGTGGTACAGTCATTCGGTTGTTTGTTCGGTAAATTGAATCTACTGAATGCCGGGCACAAAGGCATGCACAAGCCTCTTCTGCAGGGGAAAAAAGGCTTTTTAACATGGGGCCATAGTCCAAGGGCAACAGGCGAGCAACCAGGCTTCTCCAATGCTTCGTGGCGAGGTTGGTTTCGCCACAAACCCCAACCCCAGATATGATCCGAGCAACCATGTTGGCAAAATAGTGCTCGGATGCACAAAGAATAGAAAAATCGCCGCTGGGGTAAAGATTTGACTGGCTGCTAACAAGGTCCATGCCGAAAAAAGTTCCATAGCAAATGTCACTTTTGCTGGTCCAGTATCGGGAGCACCTGTGAACTAAGGAAGTCTACTGTACCTCCCCTCCAAATAGCGCTCTCATGACTGGTTGGGAAGTGGGGGGAAACACAGGTGGAAGTTGGATGGACAATACGAATATAAGCAGCTGAGCCAGAGTTCCAGAGAATGGTGGCTAAGTCCCGCTACAGTTCTCATGGCTCTGGGCAAAGGCTCTCCTGGGTCTTTCGTATGGAGGGGTAGGTAACATAGGCGTGCGCACGGAGTGTGCTCGGATAGCGCCGGCTCTGCGCTCAGCCTCCCTCCCCACCGACCCACATGCAGGGAGGGAGGAAGGAGAGAACCCGGGGAGGTATTGCCAGCAGCTCCGCTGGGTTCCTCTCGCGAGATCTGACCGTTGCCGCGGCAATGCTCAGATCTTGCGAGAGTGAACTCTAGCCCCGCAGGCTAGAGTTCACTCACCACTGGACCACCAGGGAAGGCAGCAGGGAAGGATCTCCCCTCCCTATATAAGGTGAGAAGGGAGGGGGGATATTAAGTAATCAGCCCCCACCTCCACTGGACCACCAGGGAAGGCAGCTAGGAACAAGAATTCCCCCTCCCTACATAAAGTAAGAAGGGAGGGGGGATATTAAGTAATGTACCCCCACCTCCACCCCCCCAATTACCCACACACATACAGCACCCACAGACATACACAGCACCTACACACATACAGCACCTATACACATACAGCACCCAAACACATACACAGTACCAACACACATACAGCACCCACAGACATACACAGCACCCACAGACATACACAGGACCAACACACATACAACAACTATACACATACAGCACCCACACATACACAGCACCAACACACATACAGCACCTACACACATACAGCACCTACAGACATACACCACCCACAGACATACACAGCACCTACACACCTACAGCACCCACACACATACAGCACCCACACACATACAGCACACACACACATACAGCACCCACACACATATACAGCACCAACACACATACAACACCCACAGACATACACAGCACCTACACACATAAAGCACCCACAGACATACAGCACCCACAGACATACACACCACCTACACACATACAGCACCCACACACATACAGCACACCACCCACAGACATACACAGCACCCACACACATACAGCACCCACACACATACAGCACCCACACACATACACAGCATCCACACACATACAGCATCCACAGACATACACAGCACCTACACACATACAGCACCCACAGACATACACAGCACCTACACACATACAGCACCCATACACAGCATCAACACACATACAGCATCCACATACATACACAGCACCTACACACATACAGCACCCACATACATACACAGCACCTACACACATACAACACCCACACACATACAGCACCCACACATACACAGCATCAACACACATACAGCACCCACACACACAGCACCCTCACAAACAGTACCCTCACAAACACACACAGCACCCTTACACACATTACACAAACAGCACCATCACACATAGCACACAAACAGCACCCTCACACACACACAGCACACTAACAGTACCCTCACAAACACAAACAGGACCCTAACAAACACACACACAGCACACTACCAGTACCCTCACACACAAACAGCACCCTCACATACAGTACATTAACAGCACCCTCACAAGCGCACACACACACACACACACACAAACAGCACCCTCACACACAGTACATTAACAGCACCCTCACAAGCGCGCACACACAAACACCCTCACCCACATAGTACACTACCAGCAGCCTCACACACACATCACACTAACAGCAGCCTCACACACACACACACACACACACACACACACACACACACAGCAGTGTATGTGTCTGTGTATACATGTGTATATATATATACATATATATATATATATATATATATATATATATATGTGGCATGTGCTTGTGCTTTAGGGTGCACACCCTAATGCAATAGGCTGCGCACGCCTATGGTAGGTAATGAGAGCCAAGGGTAGTGATCAAGTCTTTTGAGAAAGTATAGGGAATAAGACATGATTTGCCACACTCTTTATTGCAGAGGCACTCATAGAACAGACAGAGCTGAGTAATATACAGTGATAACACACACAACTGTGCACAGGATCACTGTGATGGATTACACAGTGTCTCTGTATAATGCTCCAGCTTTTTCTGTCTAGTTCCTACACTCTAGTCCTTTATTTTCTGATCTCATCTTCAGTAGTGCTATGACAGAAACGTCTGCCATTGCACTCCCTTCCGTTGTCCTCTCTTGGTTATCCCTAGCGTAATGTATATATAACTAAATATTTTAGTAAATTCCCTTGCTTAATTAATCCTCAGGCAAACACTGATGCTTTTGGGGGAGACACATTGATATTTTTGTGCACTTACATTTAGCAGTAGCCAAGTGCTGCTATTGTGCTCTCTTACTGCTACTTTCAAGATGGCTTCTTGCGTCTTTCTGCTTTTTTATGTGGGAACTGTAACTTCACCCCCTGGTGCTATGAGCCAATGATGGTTCCTGAATAGAGAGGTCTATATAGCATGACTCCACTCCCTGGCAGTTGGCTCTGCTGCCTGAATGGCAACTCAGTGGGAGGCCCCTGATATTCCTCCTTAAAACTAGGCATGTGCAAAATGTGCTGAAACAGGACACATTTCAAATCTGTCCCATTTTTATTACATGCCTAGTTGCTCTCAAGAGAGTTTTTCTATGCAGCAACCAATGAGGGGGAGGGGCCCTGCAGTACTGAAACCTATTTTAATATTAAAGATACATAGAATTATTTTTTTATTTTTTTAAACACACATTGACAATTTCCACATAAAAACTAGTGGGGCACTGCCCCAGGTTCCCCGTATGGACAAGTCTCCAGTGATAGATGGATGATGATTGGACGGACGGACAGATGGACAGACAGACAGACAGATCGCAGACATACACACAGACAGACAGACAGATCGATATACACACCCAGACACCAGACCCAAATACATTTGTCACACAGATACCCAGTAAATCCATTTAAACATAAATTAAATTATACACTTGAATTTTAACCTACATTCAGGCAAATAACCTGCATCTCTGCAAGGGACATGTTTTACAGCTGACATAATCATATTGTGTATGTGTGTGGGAGGAGGTTGTATGGCAAGGAAGAGTGGAGTTGAGTGTGGGGGGGGGAAGGGGGAGAGCATGTACTTGGCTGGATCTAGGACGGCAAAATAAGTAATTACATAACCATTATAACTAATTGCCCTTCACTAGATGTAAAATACTAGTATAATCTGTAGACAGCTGAATGCACTATTAATTATGTGTTATCCTCCCCAGAAATCAAGTAACTCTTAAGGGACACTGAGATCCCTCTAGTCTAGTACCTAAAGAAAATGGATAACACTGACATTCCCTGTGGGTCTTACACAAAGAGATTTGTCCAAATGATTTAGGTCACTGTTCTTCAATGTTCATTTAATTTAGTTGTAATATTGTAATACCGTACTTTTGCTTAACTAGCACTCGGCAGAGTTCAAATTCTAGGATGGACACATATCTGTGAACATTCCACCTCCTTGGAGTTGTCCCTGGAATGTTAATCCATCTGTATGTATTTTATTTCAATAATGTTGGCATCCTCACTTCATACTTACCTGTCTCATTGTGCTTTGTAGCTGCCTCTCTGTAATGTTGCACTGTGTTTCTTGTCCATGTTATGTATATGTTGTTCATGCTCTGCTTTAGCTCTGTTTAGATATGCACATGTGGGAACAGAACATTCACTTTTATAGAATCTTTAAAGCTGTGAACAACATTTGCATGCTTTCATCCTGACACAGGTATGATGCCATTAACAATGTATAAGAACACTAAGCATTTGACCTAGCTTTGTCAATGTTTCCCTGGTTCCCACCCAATTTTTCACTTATCTTGTTCTACCATTTATTCCATGTTGCCTTTGCTCCAATTATTCCTAACAGCTAGTGATGTCCCGAACGGTTCGCTGAACGGTTCGCCCCGGACTCATCATTGAGTAAACTTTGACCCTGTACCTCACAGTCAGCAGACACAATCCAGCCAATCAGCAGCAGACCCTCCCTCCCAGACCCTCCCACCTCCTGGACAGCATCCATTTTACATTCATTGTGAAGCTGCATTCTTAGTGAGCTGTCCAGAAGGTGGGAGGATCTGGGAGGGAGGGTCTGCTGCTGATTGGCTGGAATGTGTCTGCTGACTGTGAGGTACAGGGTCAAAGTTTACTCAATGATGAGTCCGCGGTGAACCGTTTGTGGCGAACCGTTTGGGACATCACTACTAACAGCTATTCGTTGCTGCTGTCCATTGCCAGACATTCTGCATATGTATCTTTAACAGTGAAATTGTATGAGTTTATACCAAAACCCTTGATACCTGGAAATGTCTGGGTATAATTTGCAACACACCACCATTTTAGAAAACGTCACATGAATTCAGCTGTACTCATGCTCTCTAGCCCAGGTACATTCTCATATTAGGAACAATAAAGCAGCTTCTTGATGATCTGACACTGCAGATATACAGTATGTACACAGAATGAATCATTTGCAGGGAGGCTATTTTGTCATGTATCTTCACTTTCTGTTACCTTATTTCTATGATTTCATCCAAATGTTTGCGCCAAGATCAGGGTGACCAGATCCACCATGTTTTCTGGGACACATATCATATATACATATTGATGGGCAGCACATGAAAAGGGTAATATGTAGAATTTAGAAGAAAGTGTATTACATTAAGTAATCAGGCAATGACGAATCCTGCAATTAAGCGATTAGGCAATCAAAAGTCCTGCATAATACACACCGCAGAGCAACCGCTTTAATGTGTTTTCATAAATGACAAAATTATGTGTCCCGGTAAACATGGTGGATCTGGCCAGGGTTGAGCAGAGTAATGAATAGGGTCATTTCAAGCTAAGAATGTTATGTGTAGATGGCTTGAATTTGGTGTGAGATAATGCTCAAACTGAATTAGTTCTTCAAAAATCTGGATTTACAGTAAGAGAGTTATTCCAGAAAGGTGACCTCTTTATTTTTCTGATAAAGAGGTTACTACCAATGAGTTGGCAAAGCATCAAGGGGGGTGTAGTCCATAAGATTTGAAGTGCTGAAGGCTGCTTACTCCTGCTCTAGAACATACTTGAGAACAAAATGAGAGGAAGTGTCAATGTATCCATTGTAAGCGTGTTGCATTTAGGGATGCTTGTTAGTTTAGTTAATCATAAAGTATATTTATTTTAATAAACATACTTATTAAAACATGTTTAAATTTACAGCTTAATGTACTTAAATGTAAATTTTAAAGTAACACTTGAAACACCACAACCACAAAAGCCCACTGCAGTGGTTATGGGGCCAGGAGTGCTCTGGTGCCACTTCATGTTAAGTATAGTGATGTCCCGAACGGTTCGCCACGAATGGTTTGCCGCAGACTCATCATTGAGTAAACTTTGACCCTGTACCTCACAGTCAGCAGACACATTCCAGCCAATCAGCAGCAGGCCCTCCCTCCCAGACCCTCCCACCTCCTGGACAGCATCCATTTTACATTCATTGTGAAGATGCATTCTTAGTGAGCTGTCCAGGAGGTGGGAGGGTCTGGGAGGGAGGGTCTGCTGCTGATTGGCTGGAATGTGTCTGCTGACTGTGAGGTACAGGGTCAAAGTTTACTCAATGATGAGTCCGTGGCGAACCGTTCGTGAACCGTTTGGCGAACCGTTCGGGACATCACTAGTTAAGTAGTCAAACCATTAGTGCGTTTTGACAAAGAGAGCCCTGGCTAGGATGGGGGGGCTTCCATTGCAAAACTGTTATATAGTTTATTGCCAATATGTAAATTTACTGAACAACAATTAATTTAATACAATGCTAAACGGCAATGCGGGATTAAAACTAAAACACCACTACACACATACCACTTCACCTCAATTAAGTGATCTAGGTGCCTTTAATGCTTTTTAATGCACAATAAAATTAAGAAAATACGTATGCCTAGGCTCTATTAACACTGTTACATCTGAGAACACTTGCACTGGACATGAATGAAAGAAACCTTAAAAGTACTAAAGGGTAAAAATACATATTTAATAAATCCAATGGGGAGACTTTAAGATAAATGAGAGTCTTGGTCTTTGCCGTTACTGCCATCACAGCAACATTTGTGTTAGTGAACAGAAAATAATTTCTCATTGATTGATATAGATTTAACATTTAGTCTAATGCATATTTTCTTACTAGCACTTAGTATGACTGATTAAGTAAAATTACAAGTGACCTATAGGGAAATTGTAAAATAAAATAAATAGAGAGATTAAGGACAGGGTTTCTGATGGTATTCTTATTGACGCAGACTGTAATCAATTTTTTAATTATGAAAATGTTGATTATGTGAACAGACTAATAGGAGTGTGATGAGACCAATCTCACCACATTGCATTGGAGAAGCCTGGTTGCCCGCCTGTTGACTCTGCCCTGCGAAGACATGAAAGCTGGGTCATTCGGTGCTTGCCCTGTTTGAGCGGTGATACCCCAGATAGCTATGCCATGGAGCCCATTCATATAATGAAAGACTATGGGAAAGACTTTGGCTCCATGGCAATTTAACTGTATGTGTGTGCTCTGAGCGCCATTCAGTAATAATGTGCGCTCAGATATGAGCTATCTGGGTATATGTTGAATGTACCTGTTTTATGCAATGGCTAGACAGTTATATATTTTTATGTATTTTATTGTCTTTTGCTGCCATGTGTTCAATGGAGTTTTGCCTCTGTCCTTGGAGATAATTGGATTACTTCCCAATTATCTCCAGGATAGAAGACTCTGTGGAACTGGTTTTGGGCAGAAAAACCATGCTTCATTTGGTTACAAAGGACTACAATCTATCTTTTGAACCACTGGACCAATTTGTATGATATTGACGTATGTTTGTATTTGGAGTATGCTGATTCTGAAAATGTAAGTTTTATGTGAATGTGATGCATACTTGTAAAGTTATGAATAATGTTGAAAAACTGTATTTCTCTGCCTGTGATATTTGCATTACCCATTGTGTAAGGTAATTGTATCACAGGCAGAGGGGAGGACTTTGTGTGGGAGTGTCTGAGTGTATTTTATGTGTTTATTGGTTGTTTTACAAAACCCTGTGGGTGGTACTAATGTGTATATAAGAACAATAAACCCACAGCTCTGTTTGTTCCTGCTTGACACTCAAAACGGAGCCTTGTCTCGTTCTTGGGGGGATTTATTGTATGCTGTTCCAGTTTGACTGCTAGGAGTGTAAACCTGTTCGTATGGTTTTTCATATTTGGCTGTTTACAGCATTCGTATGTTTGAGAGCATTCATATGCTTCTCCGATTTGGTGTATTGGTGTCTACAGTAGCTGTGCCTGTGTCTCTGGAAGGGAAGATCTACTAAATGGCTTTTAACCCCTTTTATGCCTGGGGGTGCTGTTACAAGGAGAAATAGTGATTCAGTTTCTGTATACAACATTAAATAGTGTACTCATTTTTGTTTACACCTATTGGTATTTTTATATATTACTGTTATTTTTGTCTCTCTTTAAAAATGACAAAGAATGAAAAATTAGAGAAGTAGCGATGTAGGATCTTCATGGAGAGGGGCATTAAGTAAGGGAAATTCTCTTAAAAACTGGTTAAGTTATATACAGAGTGTGCCCAACTGGCACTCAGTCACTGATTGTGTTCTTGCATTGCTCCAGCTTTGCTCTAAAGAAGGACCTGGCTTCTACTTTTGGGCTTGAGTGCCTGGTGGGACCCAGGTAAGTACTTAAACCATATTAAAATGGTTTGACATTTTACAAGATGTTCACTGGGCACTGGACACTGGCCATGTCTTCCATTGAAAATCAGAACCTAATGCAAGAAGTTTTTGTTAGCTCACCAGAGCTAAGCCCAGCCATGCATCCCTCTCAGCCAATAAGGTAACAGCCTGGCTTGCACAAAGCAAAGTGTTTCTGGCTCTTAATAGTAGAGGTGACCAGCACCTGGTGGACCCTAGGTGAGGTGTCATACAGTTGGACAATGGGGGATACCAGGACACGACTGTCACCATAACCACTACATCATGCTGTGGTGTTTATGGTGCATAGAATGTTCCTTTAAGAGCACAGAGCGCTCATTTGCTTTTCTTTACTTTATTTTTGTCTTCCTCCTTCCACACTGTATATCATCTATAACAACATTTGCAAATATCTGATAATCAGTGTTACATCAAACAGTTAAAACATTGTAAATATATATGTAGCATATTAACCCCTTAAGGACTGGACTGTTTTTGCGATGTTGTACATTTGCAACCAGGAATATTTTTACACTTTTCTGGTGTTTGTGTTTAGCTGTTATTTTCCGCTCTCTCATTTACTGTTCCCATACAAATTATATATTGTTTTTTTCAGGACAAAAGGGGCTTTCTTTACATACCATTATTTATATAATCTCATGTATTTTAATTTAAAAAAAATAAAAAATATGATGAAAAATTGAAAAAAATACATGTTTTTTGACTTTTACTTGAAAAATCTTTTACTCAGCTACAAAAGCGAATGAAAAAAACAGCTAAATAGATTCAAAATTTTGTCCTGAGTTTAAAAATACCCAGTGTTTACATGCTTTTTTGCTTTTTTTTGCAAGTTATAGGGCTATAGGTACAAGTAGGATATGGCGGTTTCAAAACAAAATTTTTTTAAATGTATCAATAGTGACATTGTAACACTATTATCTGTCATAAATCTCTGGAAAACACTCCACATGTATATATTTTTTTTAAAGTAGACAACCCAGGGTATTCATCTAAGGATATTTTGACACTTTCTATGCAGCCATTTTACCACAAGTCTTTGCCAAACTTTGCATAGATAGTTGTTTTTTTTGTTTTTTTTCACATACATTGCAATTCAGGTATAAACTTACAGATCCTGTTATGTCTTGCTGCCAAACAACACGCCAATATGTGTTCAGCAACATCTCCTGAGTACAGTGATACCACCCATGCATAGGCTTGTCGGATTGTTTGGGGGCTAAAAGGCCACATTTGGCAGGTGCGCATATCCATTTTTCAACTTGGAATTTTGACATGTAGTCAACCTGCGCACATGTCCTATTTGGGACATTTGTAAGGCCGGCCAATGTATTTTACCCCCACCAAACCATATATTTTTGGAAAGTAGACACCCTAGGGT